CACCACAAAATTTGGGATTTTTACATCCCCAAATTTGGGATTTTTTACCCCAAAAATTGGGAATTTTACCTCAAAAATTGGGATTTTTACACCCAAAGTTTGGGATTTTTTACCCCAAAAATTGGGATTTTTACACCAAAAATCTTGATTTTTTTTCACCCAAAATTTGGGATTTTTTCAACCCCAAATTTGGGACTTTTTACCCCAAAAATTGGGAATTTTCCTCCCAAAAAAATGGGATTTTTACACCCAAAATCTTTAATTTTTTCACCCCAAAATTTGGGATTTTTTACCCCAAAATTTGGGATTTTTTCACCCCAAAAATTGGGAATTTTACACCAGAAATCTTGATTTTTTTTTCACCCAAAATTTGGGATTTTTACACCCCAAATTTGGGATTTTTTACCCCAAAAACTGGGATTTTTACACCAAAAATCTTGGGTTTTTTCACCCAAAATTTGGGATTTTTTCAACCCCAAATTTGGGACTTTTTACCCCAAAAATTGGGAATTTTCCTCCCAAAAAAATGGGATTTTTACACCCAAAATCTTTAATTTTTTCACCCCAAAATTTGGGATTTTTTACCCCAAAATTTGGGATTTTTTCACCCCAAAAATTGGGAATTTTACACCAGAAATCTTGATTTTTTTTTCACCCAAAATTTGGGATTTTTACACCCCAAATTTGGGATTTTTTACCCCAAAAATTGGGAATTTTACCTCAAAAATTGGGATTTTTACACCCAAAGTTTGGGATTTTTTACCCCAAAAATTGGGATTTTTACACCAAAAATCTTGATTTTTTTTCACCCAAAATTTGGGATTTTTTCAGCCCCAAATTTGGGATTTTTTACCCCAAAACTGGGATTTTTTTCACCCAAAATTGGGATTTTTACACCCAAAATCTTGAATTTTTTCACCCCAAAATTTGGGATTTTTTACCCCAAAATCCCCCGCCCTGCAGCGCCCCCTGGTGGCCGCCGCCCCTCCCGGATTGCCCCAAAATCGGCGCTTTTGGACCCAAAAATTCGGGGTCAAAATTCCCCATTTTTGGGCAAAAAAATTGGAAATTTGGGAATTTTGGGGGGAAATTGGGGGAATTTCCTTAATTTTGGGGAAATTTTGGAATTTTATGGAATTTTTGTAATTTTTGGGGAAAGAATTTGGGATTTTGGGGTGAAAATTTGGGAATTTTGGGGGGAAATTGGGGGAATTTCCTTAATTTTGGGGAAATTTTGGAATTTTATGGAATTTTTGTAATTTTTGGGGAAAGAATTTGGGATTTTGGGGTGAAAAAATTGGGATTTTGGGGAAAATTTGCTGGATTTGGGGAAAAATGAGGAATTTTGTCAATTTTTTGCGATTTTGGGGGATTTTGGGTCTGGAATGGGAAAAGATGAATTTTTTGGGGAGAAAAACAGGGAAAAAGGGAAATTTTGGGGTGAAAATTGGGAATTTTGGGGAGAAAAATGGGATTTTTGGGGTGGGAAAAATTGGGATTTTTGGGGGAAATTTTGGGATTTTTGGGGGGGGAAAATTGGGATTTTTTTGGGGAAAAATTGGGATTTTTTGGGAAAATTTGTTTTCTAATGAAAACAAGAAATTTTTTGGGGTGAAAATGTGGATTTTTGGTGAGAAAATTTGGATTTTTGGAGTGAAAAAGCGGAAATTTTGGGGTGAAAATGGGATTTTTTTGGGAAAATGCGACTCTGAGAAAAATCAGATTTTTGGGTAAAAATTGGCAATTTTTGATGGGAAAAATGGGAATTTTTGGGTGAAAAATCAGCAATTTTGGGGAAAATTTGGGAATTTTGGGGGTAATTTGGTTTGTAGGAAAAATGGGATTTTTTGGGTGAAAAAACGACAAATTTTGGGGGGGATTTTTTGTGGAAAAAATGGGATTTTTTGGGTGAAAAATTTGGCAATTTTTGGGAAAATTTGGGAATTTTGGGGGTGATTTGGTTTGTAGGAAAAATGGGATTTTTTGGGTGAAAAAACGACAAATTTTGGGTGAAAAGGGAATTTTTGGGGGGAAAAATGGGAATTTTGGGTGAAAAAAATTCAGATTTTGGGAAGAAATGGGGTGATTTTGGGGCAAAAATTCGTCTATTGGAGAAAAATTCATTTCTGAGAAAAAGTGGAAATTTTTAGTAAAATTCAACTATTTTTGATGGGGAAAATTGGATTTTTTGGGTGAAAAAATGGCGATTTTGGGAAAAAAAGGTCGATTTTGGGAAAAAAAAGGTCGATTTTTGGGGCAAAAATTTGTCTGTTGGAGAAAAAATGGTCGATTTCAGAGAAAATTGATATTTTGGGGGGAAAAATCGTATTTTTGGTGGAAAACCGTTGTTGGGTAAAAATTGGCAATTTTTGATGGGAAAAATGGGAATTTTTGGGTGAAAAATCAGCAATTTTGGGGAAAATTTGGGAATTTTGGGGGTAATTTGGTTTGTAGGAAAAATGGGATTTTTTGGGTGAAAAAACGACAAATTTTGGGTGAAAAGGGAATTTTTAGGGGGGAAAAATGGGAATTTTGGGTGAAAAAAATTCAGATTTTGGGAAGAAATGGGGTGATTTTGGGGCAAAAATTCGTCTATTGGAGAAAAATTCATTTCTGAGAAAAAGTGGAAATTTTTAGTAAAATTCAACTATTTTTGATGGGGAAAATTGGATTTTTTGGGTGAAAAAATGGCGATTTTGGGAAAAAAAGGTCGATTTTGGGAAAAAAAAGGTCGATTTTTGGGGCAAAAATTTGTCTGTTGGAGAAAAAATGGTCGATTTCAGAGAAAATTGATATTTTGGGGGGAAAAATCGTATTTTTGGTGGAAAACCGTTGTAGAAATGGCATTTTTTTGGGGTAAAAAAAACCAGATTTTGGGCAAAATTCATTTTTTGCCAAAGACACGTATTTTGGTGGAATCACAACAACATGGAAAAATCTCATTTTTTGGTAAAAAATGGGGAAAATCATATTTTTCAGCAAAAAATTGCGATTTTTGGTCCGAAAACGCCATTTTTTTTGCAAAAACTTTATTTTACTTCGGAAAAGTGCATTTTTTGGGGGGAAAAATGGGATTTTTTGGGGAAAAATGGGGGTTTTGGATGGAAAAGTGGGGATTTTTTGGGGAAAAATTGGGGATTTTTGGGAAAAAATGGGATTTTTTGGGGGAAAAAATGGGATTTTTGGGGAAAAATTGGGATTTTTGGATTGAAAAGTGGCGATTTTTGGGGGAAAATTGGGGTTGTTTGGGGGAAATTTGGTGGGTTTGGGAGAAAATTTGGTTTCTAAGAAAAATCTCCGATCTGGAAAATCATATTTTTCAGCAAAAAATTGCGATTTTTGGTCCGAAAACGCCATTTTTTTTGCAAAAACTTTATTTTACTTCGGAAAAGTGCATTTTTTGGGGGGAAAAATGGGATTTTTTGGGGAAAATGGGTTTTTTGGATGGAAAAGTGGGGATTTTTTGGGGAAAAATTGGGGATTTTTGGGAAAAAATGGGATTTTTTGGGGAAAAAATGGGGTTGTTTGGGGGGATTTTGGTGGGTTTAGGACAAAAGTTGGTTTCTGAGAAAAACTGGATTTTTGGTTGAAAATGATCAGGTTTTGGTGGGAAAATTTGGGGGTTTTGGGTGAAAAAGTGGCAATTTTGGGGAAAAAAATGGCAACTTTTGGGGAAAAATTGGGATTTTTGGATTGAAAAGTGGCGATTTTTGGGGGAAAATTGGGGTTGTTTGGGGGAAATTTGGTGGGTTTGGGAGAAAATTTGGTTTCTAAGAAAAATCTCATTTTTCAGTGCAAATGATTGGTTTTTGGTGGGAAAATTTGGGGTTTTTGGGTGAAAAAGTGTAACAATTTTGGGAAAAAATGGCAACTTTTGGGGAAAAATTCATCTATTGGGGAAAAATTGGTTTCTGGGGAAAAGTGGAAATTTTTGAGTAAAATTCCACGATTTTTGATGGGGAAAATTGGATTTTTTGGGTGAAAAAGTGGCGATTTTGGGGAAAAAAATGGCAACTTTTGGGGAAAAATTGGTTTATTGGGGAAAAATTGGTTTCTTAGAAAAAGTGGCAGAGTTTTGTGAAAAATTGGCAATTTTTGGTGGGAAAAATGGGAATTTTTGGGTGAAAAAGTAACAATTTTGGGAAAAAATGGCAACTTTTGGGGGAAAATTGATCAGTTTGGGACAAAAATGATATATTGAGAAAAATTGTTATTTTTGGTGGGGAAAATCGACTTTTTAGTGGAAAAACAAGGTAGAAACGGCATTTTTTGAGTGAAAAAACCCAAATTTTGGGAAAAAATTCGATCTTCTCAGCAAAACCCATTTTCCTAGAAACACACTTGAAACTCTTTACAAAATCTCGATTTTTGGGTTAGAACCACGTCAAAAAATCGCATTTTTGAGCGAAAAATCGCCTTTTTTTTTGCAAAACCTTTATTTTCGAAGCTAAAAAAGTGCAAATTTCGGGCAAAACTCCCAATTTTTAGTAACAACCGCTGAGGGAGTCGCTAAAAATGAGGGAAACGTTGACGTTGGCGGGTTTACCGGCAGCCTTGTCCAGCGACCTCTGCGCCAGCCGCAGCGGCAGCCGCTCGTGCCCCACCAGGCAGGTGAAGACGAATTTTTGAGTAAAATTCCACGATTTTTGATGGGGAAAATTGGATTTTTTGGGTGAAAAAGTGGCGATTTTGGGAAAAAATGGCAACTTTTGGGGGAAAATTGATCAGTTTGGGAGAAAAATGATATATTGAGAAAAATTGTATTTTTGGTGGGGAAAATCTCATTTTTGGTGGGAAAACAAGGTAGAAAATGGTTTTTTTGCAGGAGAAAACCCGAATTTTGGGAAAAAATTCGATCTTCTCAGCAAAACCCATTTTCCTAGAAACACGCTTGAAACTCTTTACAAAATCTCGATTTTTGGGTTAGAACCACGTCAAAAAATCGCATTTTTGAGCGAAAAATCGCCTTTTTTTTTTGCAAAACCTTTATTTTTCTCTACCAAAGTGCATTTTTTTGGGGAAAAAAACCCCAAAATCAGTAACAACCACTCAAGGCATCACTGAAAATGAGGGAAACGTTGACGTTGGCGGGTTTACCGGCAGCCTTGTCCAGCGACCTCTGCGCCAGCCGCAGCGGCAGCCGCTCGTGCCCCACCAGGCAGGTGAAGACGCCGCCGCCCTCCCAGTCCCGCGCCGGCACCGTCAAGGTGCTGACGGCCAGGTGGGCGTGGCCGGAAGGGGCGTGGCCGTTGTCGGGGCGGGGCCGGAAGGTGAGGGCGCGGCCGGGCGGGAGGGGCCGGCCGTCCTGCAGCCATTGGACGAGCAGGTCGGGCGGGTTGAAGTCGCGCACCAGGCAGGTGAGGGTGGCCCAGGTGTGGAGGCGGAGCTGCTCGGGGGGCGGGGCCAGCAGGTAGATGGAGGGCGGGGACGCGTCCGGGACTGGGAGGAAAAGGAAATTCCGTTGGCATTAAAGTGGTTTTTTTTTGTTTTTTTTTTTTTTTTTCCAAAAAAAGGAGTTTTTCCCCCAAAACCCTCTTCGTGAGGGTGGCCCAGGTGTGGAGGCGGAGCTGCTCGGGGGGCGGGGCCAGCAGGTAGATGGAGGGCGGGGACGCGTCCGGGACTGGGAGGAAAAGGAAATTCAGTTGGCATTAAAGTTTGGTTTTTTTTTCCCCCCAAAAAACGCGTTTTTCACCCAAAATCCTCTTCGTTTTACTCCAATAATTCCACCCCAAAACCCCCATTTTTACCTCAAAAAATCCCATTTTTCACCCAAAAATCCCCAAAAATTCCACCCCAAAACCTCCCATTTTCCACCCTGAAATCCCCAATAATTCCACCCCAAAACCCCCATTTTTACCTCAAAAAACCCCCAAAATTGCACCCCAAAACCTCCCATTTTTCACCCTAAAAAAACGAATTATTCCACCCCAAAACTCCCCATTTTCCACCCTGAAATCCCCAAAAATTCCACCCCAAAACCTCCCATTTTTCACCCCAAAATCCCCAAAATTCCACCCCAAAACCTCCCATTTTTCACCCCAAAATCCCCACAAATTCAACCCCAAAACCCCCAATTTTTCACCCCAAAATCCCCAATAATTTCACCCCAAAACCTCCCATTTTTCACCCTAAAAAAACCAATAATTACACCCCAAAACTCCAAATTTTTCACTCCAATAATTCCACCCCAAAACCCCTCATTTTCGACCCCAAAATCCCCAATAATTTCACCCCAAAACCTCCCATTTTTCACCCCAAAATCCCCAATAATTTCATCCCAAAATCCCCCAATTTTCACCCCAAAAATCCCAATAATTCCACCCCAAAACCTCCCATTTTTCACCCTAAAAAACCCAGTAATTCCACCCCAAAATCCCCAAAAATTCCACACCAAAAACTTCCATTTTCAACCCCAAAATTCTCAAAAATTCCACCCCAAAACCTCCATTTTTACCCCAAAAATTCCACCCCAAAATTCCCAAAAATTCCACCCCAAAACCTCCCATTTTTCACCCCAAAACCCCAATAATTTCACCCCAAAGAAGCCACAATTTTTCACCCAAAAAACCCCATTTTTCACCCCAAAACCCCATCCCAAATCCCAATAAATCCACCCCAAAATCCAAAAAAATTCCACCCCAAAACTCCACTTTTTCCACCCCAAATCTCCCCGTTTTTCACCCCAAAATCCCAACGGGTTTTGGGATTTTGGGGTATAAATGTGGGATTTTGGGCTGAAATTTTTGGATTTTGGGTCGAAAGTTTGGGGGTTTGAGCCGAAATTTTGGGATTTTTGAGTCGAAATTTTGGGATTTTTGAGTCGAAATTTTGGGATTTTGGGCTAAAATCCCAGGATTTTGGTCTAAAATCCCAGGATTTTGGGGTAAGACTCTGAATTTTGGGCTGAAAATGTGAACTTTTGGGATTTTGGGGTGAAAATCAGAATTTTGAGCTGAAATTTTGGGATTTCGGGCTGGAATTTCGGGATTTTGAGGTGAAAATTGGGGGATTTTGCCTGAAATTATGGGATTTTGGGGTAAGAACACCCCAAAAAACCCCAAAAATTCCACCCCAAAACCTCCATTTTTACCCCAAAACCTCCCAAAAATTCCACCCCAAAACTCCACTTTTTCCACCCCAAATCTCCCCGTTTTTCACCCCAAAATCCCAACGGGTTTTGGGATTTTGGGGTATAAATGTGGGATTTTGGGCTGAAATTTTTGGATTTTGGGTCGAAAGTTTGGGGGTTTGAGCCGAAATTTTGGGATTTTTGAGTCGAAATTTTGGGATTTTTGAGTCGAAATTTTGGGATTTTGGGCTAAAATCCCAGGATTTTGGTCTAAAATCCCAGGATTTTGGGGTAAGACTCTGAATTTTGGGCTGAAAATGTGAACTTTTGGGATTTTGTGCTGAAATTTTTGAACTCCATTTTTACCCCAAAACCTCCCAAAAATTCCACCCCAAAAGTCCCAAAAATTCCACCCCAAAACCTCCCATTTTTCACCCCAAAATCCCCAATAATTTCACCCAAAAAAACCCCCCATTTTTCACCCCAACGGGTTTTGGGATTTTTGGGGTATAAATGCGGGATTTTGGGCTGAAATTTTTGAATTTTGCCCCAAAATTTTTCAATTTTGCACCAAAATTTTGGATTTTGTGCTTAAAATTTTGGGATTTTGAGGTGAAATGTTGCAATTTTGGATGAAATCCCAGGATTTTGGTCTAAAATCCCAGGATTTTGGGGTAAGACTCTGAATTTTGGGCTGAAAATGTGAACTTTTGGGATTTTGGGGTGAAAATCAGAATTTTGAGCTGAAATTTTGGGATTTCGGGCTGGAATTTTGGATTTTGAGGTGAAAATTGGGGGATTTTGGCTGAAATTTTGGGATTTTGGGGTAAGAATCTGAATTTCGGTCTGAAAATTTGAACTTTTGGGATTTTGTGCTGAAATTTTTGAATTTTGCCCCAAAATTTTTCAATTTTGCACCAAAATTTTGGATTTTGTGCTAAAAATTTTGGGATTTTGAGGTGAAGTGTTGCAATTTTGGATCAAATCCCAGGATTTTGGCGTAATAATCTGAATTTTAGGCTGAAAATGAGAATTTTTGGGATTTTGTGCTGAAATTTTGGGATTTTGAGGTGAAATGTTGCAATTTTGGATGAAATCCCAGGATTTTGGCGTAATAATCCGAATTTTAGGCTGAAAATGAGAATTTTTGGGATTTTGTGGTGAAATTTTCTAATTTTGAGCCAAAATTCTTGAATTTTGTGCTGAAATTTTGGGATTTTGAGGTGAAATGTTGGGATTTTGAGCTGAAATCTCAGGATTTTGGGCTGAAAATGTGGACTTTTGGGATTTTGTGGTGAAATTTTCTAATTTTGAGCCAAAATTCTTGAATTTTGTGCTGAAATTTTGGGATTTTGAGGTGAAATGTTGGGATTTTGAGCTGAAATCTCAGGATTTTGGGCTGAAAATGTGGACTTTTGGGATTTTGTGCTGAAATTTTTGAATTTTGCGCTGAAATTCTTCAATTTTGAGCCGAAATCTTTGAATTTTTGAATTTGCGCCGAAATTTTTAAATTTTGCGCTGAAATGCTGAAATCCCAGGATTTTGGGGTAAGAATCCGAATTTTGGGCTGAAAATGTGAACTTTTGGGATTTCGTGCTGAAATTTTTGAATTTTGCGCTGAAATTGCTCAGTTTTGATCTGAAATCTTTGAATTTTTTTGAATTTGCGCCGGTATTTTTGAATTTTGCACTGAAAGTCTTCAATTTTGAGCTGAAATCTTTGAATTTTTGAATTTGCGCCGAGATTTTTGAATTTTGCTCTGAAATTGCTCAGTTTTGAGCTGAAATCTTTGAATTTTTTTAATTTGCGCCGGGATTTTTGAATTTTGCGCTGAAATTTTTGAATTTTGAGCTGAAATCTTTGAATTCTTGAATTTGCGCCGGGATTTTTTAATTTTGCGCTGAAATTTTTGAATTTTGCACTGAAATTCTTCAATTTTGAGCCAAAATCTTTGAATTTTTTTAATTTGCACCAAAATTTTTGAATTTTGCGCTGAAATTCTTGAATTTTGAGCTGAAATCTTTGAATTCTTGAATTTGCGCCGGGATTTTTTAATTTTGCGCTGAAATTTTTGAATTTTGCCCTGAAATTTTTGAATTTTGCGCTGAAATTGCTCAATTTTGAGCCGAAATCTTTGAATTTTTTGAATTTGCGCTGAAATTTTTGAATTTTGCACTGAAATTCTTCAATTTTGAGCCAAAATCTTTGAATTTTTTTAATTTGCACCAAAATTTTTGAATTTTGCGCTGAAATTCTTCAATTTTGAGCTGAAATCTTTGAATTTTTGAATTTGCGCCGAGATTTTTGAATTTTGCGCTGAAATTGCTCAGTTTTGAGCCGGAATCTTTGAATTTTTGAATTTTGCGCCGAAATTCTTCAATTTTGAGCCAAAATCTTTGAATTTTTGAATTTTGTGCCAAAACACTGGGATTTTGAGGTGAAAATTTGGATTTCCTTCCAAACTCCCGTAATTTCAAGGTAAAAACCTGAAATTTTGGTCCAGAACCCCCTAAATTTCGACATTTTCGAGCCAAAAAACCGCGATTTTTTAACTTTTTCCCCCCCAAAACACCCGATTTTTTAACTTTCCCCCCCAAAAAAACTCACCGGCGGCCTTCCTCAAGGTCACCTCCCGCGGGTAGAGCAGCTCGGGGTGCGACACGCGGCACGTGAAGACCTGCCCGGACTCCCAGGCCTCGGCGGCCACCGCGGCCACGCCCTCGGCCGCCATCATCCCGTTGGCCTGGACGGCCGGCGCCGACGTCGCCGTGGCCAGGGCCCGGCCGTCCTCGCCCAGCCACGCCACCTAATTTTGGTCCAGAACCCCCTAAATTTCGACATTTTCGAGCCAAAAAACCGCGATTTTTTAACTTTTCCCCCCCCAAAACTCCCAATTTTTTAACTTTTCCCCCCAAAAAACTCACCGGCGGCCTTCCTCAAGG